GTATCAGAAGGCAAGCTGTGCTCAGTTGTCAGACCTCTGTGATGTTCTGGGGAGAGAACGTGAAACCACAGGCTCTAGCAAATCACAAGATATGAATGTTGCATCTTCCCTGTTTGCTCTTCTGGAAAGAGGAAGTTGCAAACTAAGGAGAAAAAAGAGCCTCTGCATTGTCTTGTGAAGTGGAAGTTCCTAAGTTGAGCTCTTTAGTTTGTGAGAGGGGTGTGGGGTGTGGAAGTCACTTTGAAGTGTTAAGCTTTGCCTTCCCGGGGAGTAGCTGTGTAAGGGCAGAGCTGTGATATTGCCTTGCCGAGTGTCGCGGCACCTGCTCCCGTGTGAGTGACCCTGGGATTGCAGCGCAGGCACTCAGCAGCAGTCTGACACCTCCAGTCTGAAACTGTTTGCCCATGGCAGCTTTATTTTATTTGTGTGGAAATTGCTCAGCTCTGACATTTACAGTATGATTGTTGCTCTGCTCAGATCCTTCTCTGATCTATCGATCTGTGCTTTCTGCTCCACTGACAAAGTATTTCATCCTCGTGTATGAATCCTTGAAATTAGTGAAAGGTATCACCATAATTTTTTGATGTAAATTTTTTGATGTAATTTTTTGTGAATTGGAGTTTCTCAAAGTGAAAGGCTGTGATTCCTGTAGGAAAAAAATGTGACCCAGCCCCCAATCCTGGCATCATTCATCCAAAAGCAGAAGCACCTCGTGTACAAGCTTTAAGTGCCCGCTCATGTTCTGAATTTGTTTTCTCCTCTCATTAGCAGGGTTGGAAAAATAGTCAGATTTGAGAAAGAGCTGTCTTGCATAGTGCTGGCGAATGCAGCTTTTGATGCCATCCCACACTCTTTGGGTGTGAAATACCAGAGGCTGGGAAATTATCCCACACTACCTGTGTTCAGCTGGTAGGAGTCTCCTGTGCTGTGCTACCACTAAGCTCAGCATAGGCAGGTCTGAACTGAGGGTACTTCCCTCCTCTGCACCACTATAGGAATGTAGAAATGCAGACTGTAAGTCTAAAATATGTTAAATGTGATATTTTTATATAATACTAAATAATATAAAATATAACAGTAAATCCCAGTAAATTAGTTTTCAATTGATAAAGGAATTGATAAATGATTTCTGCAGAAATTGCACAGATGCAGGTCATGGTGGCAGCAGCTAAATTTTTTTAATTTCAGCACTTGAAATACTTAGTGACAACTTGAAATTATTTTGGAAGCTATAGTCCATCTCTCGGATGAAACATGTCTATATTATTAAACATAATGACAGATGTATTTTTTCGTATTTACCACGAATAGAACCAGAGAAGCACTCAACAGTGAGGGAACAACTTCTATGCTGATTCCCATACATTCTCTTTTCCCTTCATTTAGAGAAGTGGAATTTCTCACTCGTAGGAGACCAGGCTGTTGGGACTTACAAAATCTGTGCTGATCATGACGATAACAGACTGTGCAATACATGGAAAAAATGTTTTGCCAAAAGCTTCCCTAGCAAAAGGAGATTTGCTCCATTTATAAAGTTTCAGACCTAAGACACTACTAATGTTCTCTTAAGAAAAGAGGTCCTGATTGAAATATAACATGGATTTCTTAAAAAATCATGGAGGGTTAAGATGGTAGGAGAAAAAAGCAGTTTTACAGGAACTGTTTATTTATTAACCAAGGCACACATCCGCACTCATGTACTATGGAAAGGGATCAGATGTGCTGGCAGAAGATCAAGGATCACAGAGAAGCTTAATATGATTTGCCATTTTTATATAGGATTCTGTCTCATAACTATTAAGAAGAAGTCATTGATAGCTGCCATAAAGGAAGAGGACAGCCATTCCCCAGGAAACCCAAATTAACAGTAATATGCATAAAATACTGGAATTCATATTGGATGCCAACAAGAATAACAAAAAAAGGAAGAATTCATGAATAAGAACTTCTTACTGCTCTTTAAAAAAAACCCTCTTTTAGAGCAATTTGGAACTGAATTAAGTGTGCTGACAAATGCTGCCTGAAAACAGCCAAAATTATGAATGTTTTTGTGTTGCTGTTTAAACACATCTGAATTTTAAAGATAGAACATATATATGAAGAGAAAAATGAAAAATGGAAAAAAAATCTTAGGAAACTAGTTCTAAAGAGAGGGAAAACTCATGAGAATTAGATTGAAAATGATTGTTAGCATTTACCATTTTTCCTAGGAACTTAAAATTATTTTCAACTGGTATTTTTATTAAAGACTCTGCACAATGCAAAACATTAGGAAATCTGCAATGTATTTTCCCTGCTTTTTCAGTCATAAAAAGGAAAGCATGCCTAACATTTCCTCATCCTTTAGATATAAGGAAAAATTGACGATTGGAAAAATTCTCAGGGAATTTCTATCTTCCACCTTTATTTCCAGAGGATCAATCAAACTAAGGAAGAAGAGGGTCCAGTGGCACTATAATTGGTAATATAAAGACTTTTTTGAGTCTCAGTGACTTATTAATTGCATCAGTGAGTGTGAGGGGTCAGGAGCACAGCAGTTCCTCTTTTTCTCAGACTAATATATCCACAATCAACAGCTGGTGTTTGTAGGAGGATTATACAGTTTACAGATCATGTGAGACATCAGTTTAGACATTCCTAACCTGGCTCAAGTGATGATATTTTATCTTAAAAAGTCAAGTTCGGGTGAGCTTCCCCTGATGTACCTTGGTCTGTTGTCTGCATTCAGTCATAGCAGAGGCTTCTCCTCTGTTCCATGTCCATGTTGTGCTTTTCTACGTAACTGGTCACCAATGAGAAGGATGAATTTTTCAGGAGTGATGGATATTATCCATCCCACTGGATAATCCAAGTTATCCTGACACCTTTATTGTCTTAGATACTTGAGCATTAGTTGGAATCCCACTGTGCCTGCAGCCCACCCTGCTGCCACTGGAATAGATGTGCTGTTTGGAAGCCATTTTCATCACCTTGGAGTGAACGTGGGGTCTCTGTCCCATGCTGAAGAAGCAAGGCCTTTATAAATAACAATAGAAGGTGTATCTGAATAAATTTTTAGATAAAAACATCCAAAATTACACTTTTTGTTAACTACAAAATACTTCCCCATCTCTTACCGTCCGGCTGCCTGTGACATTGTCATTTTTTCAGAGATGATTCTCGTTCTTCCAGAAAGAATGTGTATTAATTTTTAAAGTCATATTTACAAGTAATCTACATAAGACCTGCTGATATCTTGAATTTTCATAAGGCATTCTTTTATGAATTACAGATTCATAAAATGTCTCATTAATTGTAGGTTGGGTAATTGAATGTATTGTTTCTTGGGTGTTTCCCCCAAGAAACTGCAGTAAAGAAGCTTTTGTCTTCATTTGAAAGACATTCAGCTAAAAAAAGATGGATGATAGAGGCCTGCCTACTTTTCAGGGTTTTTTCCTTTTCTTTCTTTCTTTTTTAAACTGTGACTGAATTTCTTATAGTTTATTCTTCATCCACCTATAATACACTTTAATATCTTAATTTATTTAAGGCTACTAAAATTAGTGACTTTCACAATATTCAGAATTTTTAGCTGTACAGAGTGAGGAAAAGTGTCTGCATGAATATATAACTGAATATATACTGCTAAACCAGCAGCACTCAGATGAGTGTAATAGCCAAAAATGACTTGTGCTGTTACAGTTCATAAAGTCCTGCTCATCTGATGAGGAAACCTTTACCATGAACTTAATACAAGTGGAATCTGAGCTGTTTAACATTCCTAGTCCCTTAAATGCACTTTAAAGCAGCATCTGATTCTTCAGCTGTCCTATAACCTGTACCAGACCTGAACAGCCACACTCACCTGTGTTCAGTTTCTGCTTAATATTTTCACTTGATATATTTGAATGCGGCTTATATAAATAGCAAATAAACTGTTTATCACTTATGGTCCTTTTGATACTTTTTTTGTTCAATTTTAAGCTCTTAATGTGAACAGAGTCACCTCAATTACACCTGCTGTTGTCATCTAGTTGTGTGCAAGTCAGTTTGAACAAAGAGTAGTTTAACTGATAACTGAACTTTTTTAAACAGCTGTACATGTGCTGTGTGTATGTGGGGAAAAAAATCAAAGTTGTCATCCCAGTTCTTGGAGAACTCAATGTGGAAACCTTCATCTGATTCAGATGGCCAAATTTTTCACATGCAAAGATTCATCAGAAACCTCAGGAAATCTTTAAGTTCCTCTGTAAAAGGTCAAAATGAATTTTCCGACTGGAAAAATTGCTGATCCAAATCAGTGTCTCAGCTATTTATCCCTAATAAAGGGACACTAAAAATTTCATGTTATTAAAATATTATGACTTGGCGGGGGGAGAGGGTGAATATCTTAATGAGGAAAAGCAGAACAACTATCCCCTGCTTCCACGTTTATTTTCCAGACTCTCTTTTTTTTAGATAAAGTATTCCGCTCAGTTAAAAAAAAGATCACTTTTCTAAAAAATTGTAGGAAAGAAAGAGAACGTCAGAACACCAACTATTATTATATGGGTAGCTAGAGAGAGGGATCACATTTCTATGAGTCCCAGAGTTTTTGTTAAACTACTGATGTCTTTTCTATTTAGATGCATATAAAATAAACAACACAAATTTAATATACATATATAATTAATATATTAATATATATGTAATCGATTATCTGATACAAACTGTAGCCTTTATTCCAAATTTATTAGCATTATTCTCATTTATAATTATACTGATATTCTCCATTGTGACACAAACACAATAGGAATTCTCATATTATTGAAAAAAAAAGATATCAAATCTGGAGAACAATTATTCACTGTAGTTGCCTGTAATCTTCCAGAATCTTTTCCCTTTTTGTGCAGATATTTTCTTATAAGTACATTAATAAAGAGCAAATCTAAACAAGATAAGAAGAATAAACTGGAAGCCTTCTCAATACATTTTCTTCCTCACAGCAGGAGTTACAAAATAATTTTGTTTCTTTTTTCCAGTTCTTTGCTGTTGCCCAGCCAACACCTGAGGGATCACAAACAAACCTGGGAGTAAGTAATTAAAATTCAAAGCTTCGGCATTCAGATACTTTTTATACTTTCTTTTGCTTCCAACTAGCAAAGAATTTTCCAGACAAGCTTTTAATTAACAGGTGAGTTTAATTGATATGTGAATTTTCTGCAAATGCGAAGGATATCAGTGAGTAGTAGGGGAGGACTCTTTCATACTCACAGTTTAAGACCATCAGTTTACTTTCACGTGGATGAATCTGTTTTCTTTAGTGAGTAAATAAAACAGAAAATACAAGTATTGTGAAGAGCTGAGGTGGAGTTAACTAGAATGATGCTGTATTTCATAGCACCTCCTCACAGGAAACTCTGCCTCAGCTCTACCTGACAGAGGTTAGCCTCTGGTCTCGGAAGAAAAACAAGTGATGGAAATTCATAGGCACCATCAGCAGTATGTTGTGCTTAAATAAACTGCATTGATTTTATTAGGTTGGTACTAATTTCACCTAAGTCCACCTAAGAAATACAGGTGTCCATTTGATTTGTATTCCAGCCAGTGGAGAGTCAGAAGTGTTGTTGAATCCTACTTAAAATGAGAATAGTCACCTTCTGTAGGTGGCTAAAAGTCTGGGTGTCAAAATGCCCTAATTTGGACCACTCCAATTAATTTGCTAACGTTTAACATGAATCTTCCTTGCTGCAATTTCAGGCTGTTGGGTTGTTTGTGGGTTTTTATTGGTTGGTTTTTTTGGCTTACCAGGCTTGTGGAATTGTAAGTGTGGTTTGGGGGTTTGGGGGCTTTTTAAATGGTTGATTTTTGAAAGCAGACCAAAATGTTGTGCAATTTGATCATGCACTCTTTGTTGGGAAATCAGCTGTTTCAAGACACTTAAGCCATGCAGTGCACTGGAGGCATTTTATGAGTTAGAGAATCAACCAGCCAAAGAGCTTCTTGTGATTTAAGGCAGTATTAGGACAGCACACCCAGTTGTTCAAGGAAAGGTTTATTTCCTCCTCCACCATTACTGCTCCAGCTCCATGAGTCTGCTGGGAGAGTTGGGGAGGAAACAACAGTGCAGTGTAGTTAACATGCTCTGACGTGGAGTTCCTTTTTTTCGTCTTCCCGACGCTCTTTTTGAGTGTTTGTTGCTGTATTTATTTGACTCAGTATACTTATGTGTGTAAGAAAGGGATTTCCTTGAGCAAGAGTGACTTAATTGGGTATTTAATATAAAATTGTCTTGCAATTGGATTGTGCAAGCTCCCACATGTGTATTTATGAATTCTTTTATTCTTGTGAAGACAGCCTAGCTTTTCTCTGAGAGTATTTAGTCTGTCTGTGTGAAATGCAATCTTTCAAGAAAAAAAACCATAGAGATTAGTATTAAAAAATGTATTTTTCAGTGAGGCACATTTCTTGTAATAAACATTAAAATTACTCCAGCCTTTCAAATAACTTTCAGAATTTCCCACTATATAGTTCTTTTCAGGTAAAACTAAGGATATGGTTAAATAGGACGTGATATTGGATTTGTAAGGAAAGACCAAGTAGTTTGCTGCTGCAGTAAATATCAGGTATACATTTTAGGAAAAATGTCAAGCTGTCTTTCCAAAGTTATTGTTGTCCCTTAGAAACTTCATCCCTCCTTCCTTACAGGCAGTGAAAAGGAATAGTCTTTCCTGAGGGCTTTTTGGTGGTATAGAAACAAGAGACAACTTTTGTCTGTGTGTTAATCAGTAGAGGGACAGTGTCATATGCAGCACTTGGCCTCTCCTGGGATCATAATATTCTGGCTGTAGGGTGGCCTCTGGCTTGGTTGCAGTCAGCATGTTGTAACTTTGCTGGTTATATTTGACAGTGAAGTGGGGGGGTTGTTTCTTTTAGTTTTTTGGGGGGTTGTTTGTTTTTGTTTGGCATGCAGTTGAACCTATGGATTACGTGGAGTAAGCAAAGTAGAGATTTTTGTTATTTTCCATGTCAGACCTCTGAAATTCAGGTTTAGGATGTTGCCTTTCTGTCTTGATGGTTTATTTTTTTTGGTATCAGTTACATTTATTTTTTTTTCCTGCTCAATATATTAAAAAAAAACAAAAAAGGCAAAGCAGTAGGAAAGGGCTGTGCAATGTAATCTGCTGATGCTACTTAACTCCATCTCTCAGCATATGAAAACCTGCCTGCTTCATGAAAAGCACAGCTCATTTAATTAGCCCCTCATTTCCACGAATCCCATAGTCCAAATGTATCCTCCTGTCAAATGGGCTTGCCTTTATAAGCTGCAATCCATCACAGCCATGATAGAGGAAGGAAAATTCTAGCTAGAGATGCATTTTGTTCTCCAATTCCTAGTGCTTACCAAACCAGCTTCCATATTTTTCATTTGCTCTGTGTATTTATTTGTTTAGAATTAAACATGAGCAATGATGGCTACAACAGAGATATACCTGTATAATTAGGGTTGTATTTGAGTACATAAACTTAAATTTTGAGGTTCAGATGAGAACTTGAGAATTCAACCACCCATCTAATTACCAAACGCTCGTCCCCGTGCACTGACCAGCCAGGGAACGCGTCTCTCTTTCCTTCTAAAACAGATGGAGCTTTCAGTGTGCTGTAAGGTCACCAAATTCAAGCTGTTACAAACCAAAACCCAATTCCAAAGTTTTTCAGCTCTCACAGAGATGGCTTTGCCAAGCAACCCACTCTGCTGTAATGTGGAGGAAGGGGTGTAGCAGACACAGTGGTGGCAGAATGTCACCGGGCGTCCGGGAGGCTGATCTAAGTCACTGCTTGGGACCAATCCAAGGATCGGAGAGCAAAGGCTTAAAGCCACCTTTAACTTCCCAGGAGTTGAATTTGGCATCATAACACTAACCCAAAGAGCTGGCTCAAAGCTTTATGAAATTGTAGAATATGTGAGAGCAAGCTGTGAAGATTTAATCCAGATAATATCACAGTGGTATAACGATGGGCTGGGGTAGCAACTGGGAGATTTGGCAAGGGCTGTGTTGTAAGATGGCCAGCATTTCCTTCTCCAGGGTTATTATTTCTTTGTTAAAATAAAAGATAGGTTGTTAAAACAAATATTTTCCAAGTATTTCACCATATACTGAACAGTGAGCACCGCTGTACACTGAGAAACAAATTAATGAATCAAACATTGCAGCACTATCCACAGGGGCTCGTTTAAAAGCAAATGCATGACAGAGCTGGAAACCAGCTTAAATGCAAATGAGCCAATGTGATGAAATCTGTAATGTTTGATTCATTAATTTGTCTCTCGTCGTACAGCAGTGATCATTGTTTAGTGTGTGCTACTAATGAAAGACTTTTGTAGACAAGGATTTCCAACTTCCTAGATGAGCTTTAATTTAGTAAAGTTCTGTCATGAAACCTTTCATGACCATGAGATTCTTGCATCTGTACTAATTATTTTCATTAAAAAGTAATATTTAACATATATAGTAGTTTTCTTGCTATGTAGGCTAGCAGATGGAAAGAAGGAGAGCCAGCATCATCTGATCCTCTAGTTTTCCAAAGGCCACCAGCAGCTAATATGTTATAGTTAAAAGAAGAAAAACACCAGAAAAAATAAAATCTTGGCTATGTGATGAAATAGAAAAGCCCCCCTCCCAATCTTTAGAAAGAGTTACATTCCAGATTTTAATCTACAGTAGAATCACGACTGAATGCCCAAAAGGGGTGGAGGAGAATGGTCAGTGTTGTTGTTCCCCTTTTGTAGAAGTTAAACTGTGAAATGTCAGTTTGATGGATATTCTGGTAATGTATATTCAGTTCTGCATAGCAGTGACATCAGCCTCTATTTTTCTGCTCCTTAACTCTCAGCCTGGAGTTGTGACTCTGTTCTCAGTCGTTCCCATGACTGTAAGATTGGGGAAGACAGAACAGAAAGGGATTGTCAAATTAAATAGCCACTGTAAAGCATATAATAAAATTTATCAATTTGGGCTCTAATGGCAAACAAAATTCTACTTCAGTCCTAGCATTTACAGCCTTAACTACAGAAATTTTTACAGGGTGGAGGTTTTTGTTGCTTTTTTTGGTTTGGTTTGGTTTTTTGATGATTTTTTTTGCTGGGATTCATCAATATGATGATGGCTTTGATTAGGAAGTATCTCCAAGTGACATTTTAGAGAGATGAGTGGCATTAACCTCACAGCACACCAGAAAAAAAGAAAGAGAAGTCTTTTGTAGCATATCAGCAGCACATAATAAAAAACTGGCTTGGTTAGGAATCACATTTCTGAGATTCTTGTTCCAAATCCAAACATGCACCAGGCCAATCTGTCTATTTATTTCCATTCTGTATTTACAGTGGGGTGACATTTAGGCAAGTACAGTGCTAATTGCCTTGCAGGTACCTCTCAGTATTGACATCTACAATTAATCACAAAGCAGGCACACTCTTGATTCCAACATACCCATTTTTATCCCATCACCATAGAAATGTGAAATATTTACCAGCTTCTGAAGCCATTTTTTTCTGACAGGACAGTTGCTGCTCTCTTGGCTTTTTCTGAGATTGCAAACTAAGATGTCAAATATTGTCTGCTACAAAGCAGCCAGGTCTTGAGGGCAACTAGAGAAGGTTGTAAAGTCATTGGTAATGACATATAAAGGGTTTTTCTGTGAAAATTACTGTCTAAAATAATAGAAAATCTGGTCCTGCTGTAAACAGAATTTGGTTTTCATGGTTCACTGTATGCTGAAGCAAAACAATGCACACTTTTTTCAATGGCTACCAAAATTACTTGAAAATGAGGATTGAAATAGGTGTTTAGAAATGTGTGAATCATGTTTAAGATTTCCTCAGTGAAAAGTTTCTGGAGTCTTCTGTCCTTAAACGTGGAGTAAGCTGTCAGGATGAAATTTTGGAAAACCAACGAACGAAAGAAGAAAAACCCATGTGCAAAGATATTAGAAAGTAAATTCCATGAATATTTCATTTCTGTTTTCATCCAGCATTGAACATGTGTTAGACTTCAATTTTTTTGCTTAAATCTCTTTTTCTATATATAGCTTTTTCTGTGCTAGCCACTTAGTT